CTGCCAGTGGTCAAAGCCTCCAACAAAGCTCTGTAAGTAAATATGTGATCATCGCTTCTTTCTTTAAATCGTGATTCTACGTAACAAAATCAGGCATGTTCAGTTCAAAGAACTTAGCCTTTTAGAAAAATATGAACATACCGAATTAAATGATTGTTACGTCAACCCCCACCATGGTGGAGGCAAAGGTAGGAAGTAGACAGCAACACTGGACAACCACAATCAATGAAGGCGGAAGACAACAGAACAGTTAAGAATCAGGCAGGATTTATTGGTTGCTTGCCTTGATAGTCAAACTTAACAAAAGAAAAGAGGTGGGGGAGGAGGGCTGGGCAGTTGAGCCAAATCAAAGAAATTAATAAAACAAAAAGAGGTCAATAGCTTCCAGGGCCTAACTGAAACAAAAAATGCAAAACAAAAGGCCTACCTAGCTACTCAACAAAAGGTCAGTGAAAACATACAAGAGTGGCGTCAACCGCATAACCTAGTGTGACTAACAGTTTAAAACCTGCAACCAGTGTATAGGGTACCCCAGCTTACCTGTCCAGCCTCCCACCACACACAATACAAAAAAGCCTGTTTGCAAATGTTTGCCATAAAGCAGCAGCCACCAGCCACCAGCTGGCCAGGGAGCTGCTCATTTGTAGTGATCCTCGGAGAGTGATTGGCCATCTGTGCCCAGACCAGCCAATAGACACATGCCAATCAACTTTGAACTGGCCAATAGGTGGAGGCTTGACACCTGAAAGATAAAAAGAACACAAAAGCAAAGCCACATCTCTTGGCACGTAACAATGATCATTAGTCACTCAGACAAATATTTGATACGTTTAATGTTTACCTCCAGCAGGACATTTCAGCATTTCTGAAACATTTTTCTCTTTAACTCAAATCAAATAACAATCTAGCCCCAGTCTATAAAAACATGAGTTCTGATCCTTCAGCCCCTTTATCAAGTTTATTGTCCTTAGGCTTTTTACTTGTCCCCAACTCCAGGAATTTTGTACCTTTTTTTCTAAAGCATATACTTCCACTACCAGACTACACCTTCATCTTTTTCTGGTGTTCGTAATCGAAGTTTTGGTTTTTGTCTCAGCTTTAGTACAATGTTCAATGTTCAATCTCTCTTTTTTTATATATATAAATCAGCTGTGGCTGTCCTGACTATATTCAGTATGGAGAGAAATACTTGTGCTTTATATTTGAAATTCCTACTAAGGTTCTGTTTCTCATCAGCAACCATATTTAACTGTTATGTCACCATAACCAATGTTCCTATAGAATTACAGTGGGTTCTCTCATGGTACTCTACAGTTTCTGTCCACTGTCCAAAAACATGCAGTTAGGTTAACTGGTGATCTAAACTTCATGCAAGTGTGAGTAAGAATGCTTGTCTGTCTCTCTGTGGGCCAAATGGATCACTGCTTTACCTTTGATATTTCCTGACACCAAACATTCTCCATGAAGTCTGCATTTCAGCTCATACCCTTTATAAACACCTTTAACAGGAAGAGTTTTATACAGGTACTGTTTAAAATCCAGTGTTACTCACAGTATGCAGGTAATGAACATAATAATTACTGAACAAAGACGTGTGAACTTTGTTACTGTGGATCTAAAATGTAAAAATGCATTTGAGAAGATTTTATTTCCAATCAGGTTTTAATGTGGGTTACAGTTTTTTAGAATTTGTAAACTAGAAGGTTGAGTAGATGGAGCTTGTAATGACTGATCTTCAGTGTGCTTTATGAAATTATCAAAGCAATAGAAAGTTGCCCTTTAGGGAGGCCGGGACTTTAAAGGGGAATGAGCCAAAGCAGCATATTGTAGACAGAAATCAAACAAGAGTCTGCACCAAGTCCAGCATGTGATACATTATTTATAGCTACATTTACAGTTATTGCAGATATTAGAATTAGAAAAAGTGACCAACAGTACTGTAGTAACTGTAGTACTCTAGTACCCACAGGCATGTCTGCAGACACTGATCTAGTGTCACTAGATCACTGGTTGCAATTTAGATATGTTGGTACAATTGTGTTTCTATAAATTTAATTTACTTTTTTTCTTCCACACTTAAGTTTTATCATTTTTGAAGTTAATTTTGAGTTGTAGTGTACACAGGCATATTTGATTTATTATCTAGGTTCAACATATAAAGAGATTTGATCTCAAATATTCCTTTTGGGGGTTTTTTAGACTGAGAAGCTGTAGCCTCTCAGAGGAAGGCTGTGAAGGTTTGTTGTCAGTCGTCAGCTGCCAGTCCTGTAGTCTGAGAGAGCTGGACCTGAGTACCAACAGGCTGAATGATTCAGCAGTAAAGCTTTTGTCTGCTGCATTGGAGAGTCCACATGCCAAACTGAACATTCTGAGGTCAGATCAATATGTATTCTGTTTTGTTTTGTTTGTTTATATGTTTGTTTCTTCTTTTTATCAAATCACAAAATAAACCAATGAAACAAATTAACCAGTAAAGGCAAACTTTATCCATGTATTGTTGTTTCTTAACATTTTAATCATTTCTAAGTTAAAGTAAAATTTTACTAACCTGTTGAGGACAAGATATTAAGCATACTTTAAAATACATCATTAGTTATTACACCCTGGTTATACTTTAACACTTTGTTCATGTTTTTATTTTCAGACTCAACATCTGTGAACTCTCAGAGGAAAACTGTGAAGCTCTCTCCTCAGTTCTCAGCTCCCAGGACTCTAGTCTGAGAGAGCTGGGCCTGAGTATCAAAAACCTGCATGACTCAGGAGTGAAGCTTCTGGCTGTGGGACTACAAAGTTTAAACTGTAAACTGAATCCTCTGAGGTCGGGTCAAATTACATTTTGTATTTTTAAAATTAACTAGTGCTGTCAGCGTTAATCTTGTTAAAATGACATCAACGTAATAACCGCATTAATGCGGCAAATCTTCATTAGCAAGTTAATGCAGATCGTCCTGTGCATGGGGTTGCAAGGCGCTACCGCGTTAACGAGCTAACTGCGCTAACTCTTTGATGCCATGCAGCCCCATGTACGGGGCAATCTGCATTAACTTGCTAACGAAGATTTGCTGTGCTACTGCGGTTATGGCGTTAATGTCATTTTAATGAGATTAATGCTGACACCACTAAAATTAACCAATTAAATATTTTAAGCCAATCCATATTCAAATCCATATGACGATTTTTCTTAGCATGTTCAGGTTTTCTTTAAAAAAATAAAAAGACAGGATTTAATATTGGGAAATATAATTTAAAATATATGCATATAAATTAAAAAAATATATTTAAAAATTTCACGTGACTGCAGCACATTGGCACGATAGTTAACACTGTTGACTCACAGCAAGGAGGTCCTGAGTTCAATTCCACCATCAGGCCAGGGTCTTTCTTTCTTTCTTTCTTAGAGTTTGCATGTTCTCCCTGTTTGCGTGGGTTCTCTCTGGGTATTCCGGCTTCCTCCCATAGTCCAAAGCCATGCAGTTAGTGGGGTTAGGACACTAAATTGTCCATAGGTGTGAATGTGAGTGCAAATAGTTATGTCTGTCTTATTGTGTATGTCTATGACAGACTGGCGACCTGTACAAAGTGTACCCTGCCTCTTGGACTAAGAAAGCTGGGATAGTCTTCAGTGCCCCCCGCGATCCTGAAAAGGATAAGCGGAAATGGATGGATGGAACTTTACACGAGTATTTGTATTATAGGTTGTCTTTATTTTTCAGACTGATGGGCTGTAATCTTTCAGGGAGAAGCTGTGAAGTTCTGTCCTCAGTTCTCAGCTCCCAGTCATCTAGTCTGAGAGAGCTTGTCCTGAGTAACTCTGACCTGCAGGATTCAGGCGTGAAGCTTCTGTCTGCTGGACTAAAGAGTTCACAGTGTACAGTGGAAACTCTCAGGTCAGGATTCAAACTTTTACACAGATGATCATTTAAATTGTGAATTATATTATTGCATAAACAGGTAACCTTTATAGAGCTGTCAAGTGAATGTTTATTAATTAAGAATTAATTCAGTAATTGGAATTAATATGTAAACATTTTTATAGTCATGTGTTTGTTTGTTTAACAAAAATACTTCATGTACTGGCCAATTTAGACATTTGGGGTTACTTTGTGCTCATAAAATATAAATTTTATTTCTGTGGGAATAAAATGTCAAAATTACATGTTTTGGTGTCTAATGGGCATTAATTAAATTATTATGTATCGATCATCACTGGGACCACTGTTGCTTTCACCCTCCACATCTTCTCTTGTCACCCTCTTGTCCATTACAAGTTATTCGTCATTCTGGCTCAAAGTCTGCTGCCAGCCCTCAATTACAGAATTTGTCAATATTAGATGCTGCAGTTCCTTCAGACAGTTTCCCTAGACCAGAGGTTCCCAAAGTGTGGGGCCCGCCCATTAATGTGTTCAACTTTCTATTCCTCCAGCGGAAGACCTCTCAGTTTGAGTTCAGGAGACAGACACCCACTACTTTGAAGATCAGCTTCAAACTTTCCTTTTTGATAAAGCTTAAAGTTAGAGCTGGATCAATTGACCCTGAGCCATCCCTTAGTTATGCTGCTATAGGCTCAGGCTGTTGGTGTGCTTCCCATGATGCTCTGCTTTCTTCTCCACTCCCCTCTTTTCACTCCCGATGCTTTTATATGTCACTACTGCGTGTCCTTAACTTTTGTCTTCTCCTTCCTTAGTTTGTGTTTTGTTCTTGTCTCTCTGAGCTCATCTCTTCTCTTTCCCCTCACCCTGCAACCAGTCATTGTAGATGCTCCTCCTGGAGCCTGTTTTCACTGGGAGGATCTTTGTGTCAAAGGGAGTTCTTCTTCCCATCATCACCAAGTGCTGCTCACAGTGGATGGTCTGATGGTTGGGGCTTTCTCTCTAATATTGTAGGCTGTTACCTTACACTGTTAAACAGCTTGAGAGGCTCTTGACGAAGGCGGTCGCACTTTTCTCCTCTCCTCCTCTCCCTTAGCTTCCCTGCTTAGCCTCTAATGTCCTTGTCTAGTCTCGTTTTGTTTTTTTTTTGTATTACTTTTCCCTGGAACACTCTCTCACACTCTGTTCTCTAAAACCTAAAAGAGGAATTATGGATTGTATCAACTGGTCCCTACATGCAATTGACACCCCTTTCTCAACGAGAAGTTTGGGCTCGGGTGAGCCTGAGTGGTGAAGATATCTACCTATTCAGAACCATGGTAACAGGGTTCTGGCTGATCGGAGCTGGCTTGGCCCTGACTTATCGAAGAATTAAGAAAGCGGAACCGGCTGTTCAAACCCCCACAAGGCTGCCCGCTGGGATTGAAACGATGGGAAGAGGTGTGAGTTTCTCAAAATGGGCTCATTGAGTGCAGCACGGATAAGATCTTGGAGAGGCTACGGCTGCTGTGAATATTCAGAATAAGATCTCTGAATGCAGACTGGATTACATCTCGGAAGGGCTAGCACGGAATAACATCTCTGAGCGCAAACCGGATGACATCTCGGGGAGGCACACTGTCGTGACTTCTCAGAATTGGCTCTTTGAACACAAGAATGACAACATCACAGAACGCAAGTATGGCGAAGCTCGCGGCTCTCCAACGGGAGATTGAGAGACCAGTGTTGGACTGTAGAACTGCTTTGAAATTCATATGAGCTGTTCGCACTAAAGTAAAAAGCACCATCACTTATGCGGATACCCCTTCGGCGCCAGCTGCAGTCTCAAGGCTGGAGCCGAACAAAAAACACCCTGATAACGACTGTGTTTAGTCTGTTCCTTCCCATTCCATGCAAGGCCACCTGGGTTGGCTGGAAGACTGTTTACTTAGCCTGGTAGGGCGAAGGACACTGTCTCAGCTGAACTCTGGACACGCAAACACACACATACACTGATATACACACACTGATCCCCCCCTCCCTTTCCAAACGCCTTCGATGCTTCTTCCCTCCTGGGGAATACGGCGGGTCTGAGCTCGCGCTGGAAGTGTAGCGCTGGGCAGGATGGCTGCTGTGTTGCTTCGGACTATGCCTCACCCCCTACCCAATCCTGTGGCTTGACACGTGTTCCATAATGTTGTGCTGTGGACATTCATGTGCTTCTTTTTGTGCAGAGGAGTTTTTTTGTTTCCTGTTCTCATGCTGTCCTCCCAGGAGCCCAGCATGAGTAGAGGTCTCTTTTTTTCCTCTTGTACTTTCCCATTGTAGTGTATATTTCAGTGTTTTTTCTGTAACGCTACCGATCTCCGACCTGTAACCCCATGTGATGTCTCTGTTGTGTATGTATGGTCGGGGGGGAGGGGGGGGGTCCCATTTCACTGCAGGGCAACCTGCATGTGGCGAATAAAGCCTTGATTGATTGATTGATTGATTGATTGAAGTTAAGTTAAATGAATATAAATGGATAGATGTTATTGTATGTGCAAACAAAAATCACTGTTCACGGATGAACTGTTGTTTTGTGTGTCTGTAGTCTGTCAGGCTGTCTGATCACAGAGGAAGGCTGTACTTCTCTGGCCTCAGCTATGAGCTCCAACCCCTCCCATCTGAGAGAGCTGGACCTGAGCTACAATCATCCTGGAGACTCAGGAATGAAGCTGCTGTCGGCGGGACTGAAGGATCCAGGCTGGAGACTCAACACTCTCAGGTATGTAGAGAATGTTTGATATAGGAGAAAGAGTTGTAAACATTTCCTGTATCATTTATTCACTTGCTCTTTATTTCAGGCAGATGTGACATGAACAATCTCACATTCAGAAATATTTTTAGGAACGGAAACTCTTTGCATAAAATTTTGGCTTCAGCAATTATCCGTTCTGCATTCCGCTTGGGCAGCTCATTTCTATCATAGCCTCCCACAGGCTAGCCAAGCCAAATGGGACTCCTTCTTCAGCCTGATGTCACCTTTTACCCCCAGTTTCCACCATCTGGTTTCGGGGTTACCATCACGACAGACACAAACCATCAGTGCAGCAGGTTCAGCAATGGAGGGGCTGAACATTGTCCATTCAGACTCAGTGTCCTCACTCTGCCTTGGAATGCTGCCAAAGCTCTGCCAGAGGTGGGAAATGAAGATCTGATGGACCAGGGCCTCTGCCAGGCGTTCCCAGTGCACCCTTACTATACATTTAGGTATCTTTCCAGCATCCTCCCCCACCACCTGATTTAACTTACCACCAGGTGGTAATCAGTTGAGCACTCAGCCCTTGTCTTCTCCCAAGCATCCAGAACATATGGCCATAGATCTAATGATACGATTACAAAATCGATCATCAACCTAGTGATCGTGGCTCAAAGAGTTGGAAGTTTGTCTTGTAATCAGAAGGTTGCTGGTTCAAGCCCCGGCTCTGACAGTCTCGGTCATTGTTCCCTTGGGCAAGGCACTTCACCCGTTGCCTACTGGTGGTTGTCAGAGGGCCCGGTGGTGCCAGTGTCCTGCAGCTTCACCTCTGTCAGTGCGGTCCAGGGCAGCTTTGGCTACAATGTAGCTTGCCATCCCCAGTGTGTGAATGGGTGGATGACTGAATGCAGAGTAAAGCACTTGGGGTCCATAGGGACTAAGTAAAGTGCTATAATCTAAGGAGCTTGGAAAGAAAAGCGACTTCTTAAAGGACTCCTTTAAGTTGCTTGAAGACGTTTCACCTCTCAACCGAGAAGCTTCTTCAGTTCTAAGGGTCAAATGGTGGAGAGTCCCAGATTTAAACCCAGTGGGAGTTTCGCTCCAAAGAGGGACAAAGGACCCCCTGATGATCCTCTACCTAATCACAGCCGAGGTGTGAAAATGGGTGTGGGTCCCAATCAGCCAGGATTTCGGTTGAGCTCATTGTGAAACCTGGCCCCACCCTATCATGTGATTTCCTGAGGTCAGATGGCCCAGGATGTGAGTGGGCATTAAGGCGTCTGGGGAGGGAACTCAAAACTGGATTATAGATGGCAGACAGTTGGTGTCGTAAACCACCGCCTCTGTTCAAAGATGGTCACAGTGGACATAAATGGCTTCTTTCACTCCTCTTTCAAACCATCTGTCCTCTTTGTCCAAAATGTGAACATTGGCATCCTCGAGGACAGATGGTTTGAAAGAGGAGTGAAAGAAGCCACCTTCACAGACATAAAGCGCTATACAAATACAGGCCACTTACCATTTACATGCACTCATGGACACACTTATGTTCGAAAATTGTGTTTGTTATTGAAAAATCTGTCCAGTAACAGAACACCACTCTGCCTCAAATCAGGCAGGCTGTTCATTCCAATCACTTCCCTCCAGGATCTTGCCACTGTTGCAAATATGACGTCTCCCAGTAGGACACCTGAGTCCCCAGGTGAATAATCCACAAACACCTCACCCAGGGACTCCAAGAAGATTGGGTACTCTGAATTATCATTGGACACATAAGTGCAGATGACAATCAGGACCTGTTCCCCAACCTGAAAGCACAAGGAACTTCTTCCTACTTGTCCACCAGGAAAAAATGTACAGACAGAAACCTGAGGTGATACCAAGATACCCACTCCAGCCTGCCACCTCTCACTTAGGGCAACTCCAGACTGGGACAAAGTCCAGCCCCTCTCTAGCAGTCTGGTTCTAGAACCCAAGCTGTGCATTAAGGTGAGCCCAAATATATCTAGCTGGTACCACTCAACCTCACGCACTAACTCAGGCTCTTACCCCGCCAGAGAGGTGACATTCCATGTCCCATTTGCTAAGTCATAGTAATCGGGTACCCTTATCCCATGTGGAGTGAACTGTTCCTTTGATTTCATACTCATATGGGGTCTTTTGTCTCGCTATTTGTCTGGTCCCTCAACCAGGACCAATTTGCCATGGGAGACCCTTGCTCCCTGGTACAACATAGCGCCTAGGATACCTGGGACACACAAAACCCTCCACCGTGATAAGGTAGAAATTCAGGGAGGAGAACACGTGTTTTTTCTCTTTTACCTTTCATTTAGTTTTGGCAATGAATTCATTATGTAAATATCTAATAAACTATGAAAAATAAACAGCATGTCACGCAGTTTGTGTTTCCATTCTGCTGTTATCGTTGTGTGCTGTACTGCATGGGGATGCTGCACTCACTCAGAGGTCAGAGGTCATGTACAGTAACCACACTGACACCAAGAGGAGAAAAACAGCTGGCAGCAAAGGCAGGGAGGTGTCCATTTCAGCTTAACAGAAGAGGAATATAAAGATAGTGAAGGTCACAGTTTGAATCGGTCATATTTCATTCAATATAGTCGTGTACTGACAGATCCAGGATCAGTCCAAATCATCATCAGTAACGTATGGATTGAAGTATATTTGTGAAAATGTTGGACTGTTCCTTTATCAGTGTGTAACAGTATGTGTATGAGAGCCATGTAATGTCCATGTGTGCATGCTGACTGTGCTGCTCTGACCCCCCTCCTCCTTTCAGGGTGGAGCCTGCTGGAGTCCGATGGTTGAGACCAGGTCTGAGGAAGTGTAAGTGTGTTTTTAATGGGATTCATGAAAACAAAGTAGCACACATTCAACCATCTTCATCATGTCAGGAGTCATCATCAAAGTGTCAATCAATGAACAGATGATGGATCAATAACTGCAGCTGGATTGTGTTTGTTCTCTCCATCAGATTCCTGTCAACTCACAATCGACACAAACACCATAGGCAGAAAACTTAAAATGTCCAACAACAACAGGAAGGTGACACGTGAAGGATATCAGTCATATCCTGATCATCCAGACAGATTTAATATCTATTCTCAGCTGCTGTGTAGAAATGGTCTGACTGGTCGCTGTTACTGGGAGGTCGAGTGGAGAGGAGACGTTTATATATCAGTGAGTTACAGAAGCATCAGAAGGAAAGGACGCAGTGATGAGTGTGAGTTTGGAGAGAACAATCATTCCTGGAGTCTGTACTGCACTGAGGATGGTCCTGTTCGTGTCTGGCACAATAAGAGATCAACATCAACATCCCCCTCCTCCTCCTCCTCCTCCTCCTCCTCCTCTGTCTCTAACAGAGCAGCAGTGTATGTGGACTGTCCTGCTGGCACTCTGTCCTTCTACAGAGTCTCCTCTGACACTCTGATCCACCTCCACACCTTCAACACCACATTCACTCAAACTCTTTATCCTGGGTTTAGGTTC